AAACACCACTTTACTAAACCAGCATAATACCTAACTACGTTCTATTTGTCCTTACTCAGAGACAAATGTATTTCTCATTCTTCATCAAGGAAACTTCTCTTTGCAACAGATGGAGACCATTACAGAAAACCACAGGCAATCAAAATGCAGAGTTGTAGAGCCCAGACCTAACTGATACATCTACAAATCAATCCCTGTACGTAAGGTTCAGGGATCATTGTAGAAGAGGAAGAAAGATTGTAAAAGCCAGAGGACCAGGGAGTTTGCTGTGAGATTGTGTCTCCTGGAAATGTCAGAAGCTACCCCCATAAAGTCTCACCAACACGACTGCCTAAACATGAGCTGAACAAGGACAACAGTAGATATGCTAACATGGATGGGGGAAAGTCCTTGAGGCCTTAACCCAACACAAAGGACTACTAGCAACTAAGGAATGCTGAGAGAGGGAGAAATATTTTTCACCGGAGAAGGGCACACCAAGTGGTGATCCAATACCAAATGGTCAGCCCTGAAAACATACATACAAGAAACATCACATAGATGGGAAAAGGTGTATTTATAAGTATATATATCTATACATTAACATATATGTATATAATAACTAATGAAAAAAGAGACCATGAATTTGAAAGAATGGGAGGGTTTAGAGGGAGGAGAAGGGGGAAATTATGTAAGTATATTATGATCTCAAAAATAAAAGAAATATTTTTCAAAATAAAAAGCACATACATGGTTCGTGAGATGTCTCTGTGGGTAAAGGCTCCTGTAATGAAGTCTGGCAACCTAAGTTCTATACCCAGGACCCACATGGTGGAAGGAGAACCAATTCCCACAAGTTGTCCTCTGACACGTGCTGTGACATGTGTGCACCTACACATGCACACAAATGTAACAAAGATTAAAAAAACCACATTGTGCAGGTGAAAATTCTTCCCCTGAACTTCTGTGCCCACTGAAGAGCTCTTCTGTAGCACTTCATCCTATTTACATGAACAAATGAGATGGACAACACCTGCTTGCTTATTTCATTTGCTTCTAGCTCCAGGAGGTGGCAATCCCATCATTCTTCAGCATAGAACACTCAAACTTTATGCTACTGCTCATTATAAACAGACTACTCCTCTCTTCTTGAAGATGTCTGGGTGCTTCTCTTTGCCCCATTTGATTCGTTGAGAAGTACAGATCTCCCAGAGTAGGATGAGCTCCCTCCTTCATTCTGGCTGTGTTTCTTACTAGGCTCTGTATCTCAGCATTATGAATTGAATGGTGTTCTGCTCCTCAAATATGCCAATATGATAATGTCCAGAGCACTACACTGTGACTTGATACTCCACTTTATATATTAATCAAAGGCCCAGACAGAAGCAATTAGAACATCAAGTTAAATGAGGGCATTGAGTAGGGCTTCATTCAATGTAGCTGGTACCCTTCAATGAAGAAAATAATTGACTAGAGAGGTGACTCAGTAGTTAAGAGCCACTCTTCTAAAAGACCCAGATTCAATTCCCAACACCCACAAGGTAGCTCACAGAAATCTGTAACTCCAGTTCCAGGGCATCCAACACCTTCTTCTGGTCTCTGTGGGCAGCAGGCTTGAATGTGGGAAATACCTGCAGGGTAAACACTACCCATACACATAAAATAACATTAAAATAAAGTGCAAAGCTGCACAGAGGAACCTCAAATCATATACATCAAGTCAAGGAACTTGTGCTCTGGAAGGACACAGACACTTTCAGGTGCCAAGCAAAGAGAGAGGATGAGATAGGCCCTGTGAGTCACCACTAACACATGCTACAGGGCAGAACAGAGGAAGCCACAAGGAGGTGGAAGTTTTTTGATATTTCTTCCAAGTGTTTAATTGTTAGAAATGAGGAGACAGGAAGCCAACCCATGCCTAAGACCTGCCTTGAACTGAAAGGTCAGAATGTACCCAGGAGGTAGGTGAATGGTGGATTTGGATGCAGGAGAATGGAAGGCGAGACAGAAAAACATTGAGGGTTGTAGAGTTCCTAATGGAACTACCCTGGACAGGGAAGGTGAGGGGCTGTTGCAGGAAGATAGTATAAATCCCTTCTAATGCTTGAGCAATGCTGGGGAGGAACATATTTAGAACTGTCCTCTTTGGCTGAGCAAATTATTTTTGTCTAGTTTTGGAAATTGAAGCTTAGCTCCCTTGCATGCTATGCAAGAACTCTACTCTAAACTAGCCCAGGGAGGCATTAAATTTGCAATCCTTCTCAGCCTGCAGAGTGGCTAGGATTACAAGCACCTACCACAAAGCTTGGACAAAAAAAAAAATAGTTTTGAAGGGAAGGCTTCTTCGTTTTGGTTTCCTATTGTTGTGGTAAAACACTATGACCAAAAGCAAGTTGGGAAAGGGTTTATTCCTACTTACAGTTGTAGTTTATCATTCAGGGACGTTAGGGCAGGAACTGAAGCAGAACCAGGGAGGGGTGCGGCTTACTGGCTTGCTTCCCATGGCTTTGCTCAGACTGCTTTCTTAGAGAACTCAGGCCCAAGCGTGGTGTCACTCTTCAGTGGGCTGGATCCTCCCACATTATTAAACAGGAAAATGTCCTGTAGACTTGCCAACAGGCCATTTGATGGAGGCTCAACTGAGATTCCTCTTTCCAAATAACTTTAGCTTGAGTCAAGTTGACCAAAATAAAACACACACACACACACACACACACACACACACACACACACACACCCCAAACAAAAAACAAAACACCAAAACAAGCAGGACAAAGACTTTAAACAGGAGATGGTTAGAAAAGTTAAGAGTGGAGTGAGAATAACTGAGTGTGTATGTTTCTTCTGAGATAGTAGGAAATGCCTGACCCATCATAGGCTTGGCAATAAGCAGCTACATGAAGAACATAATAGAACTTGCAGTTGAAGACAGACATTTAAGTCATGGAAGTATGTGCTAGGTGCATCCTCATCTGGCATACACCTGGAAGTCAATGCCCTTTGTTGCCCAGGTTATCAGGCAAGCTAGATAACAAGGTCTGACAAGGTGTACCATCTCTGCTGCTATTTCATCTGGGACAAGGTCTCATGTAGGCCACTCTGGCCTCACACTCATTGTGTAGCCAAGACTAGCCTTGAACTGGTGTCCATCCTGTCTCTGCCTGTGGGCAAATAGCTATGATGCATTTGTAAGAACAGTGCTTTGAAAAGAATGAACATTAACCCTTGAATTAAAGTGATGGGCTGCTTCTGAGATCCCAAGATGAGCCAGGTGGGGGATAACACTCTGCTCATACAAAAGCTTCCATCAGACAAGGTACTTTATGCTCAGCAGACATCAGATTCAACAGAAAAACTATGTATCCCAGACCTACTCCTCCTGTTACAACCCCCCAAAGAACCCCATGTTTCTAGCTTCATGTGCCCAGTAAGATGAGAAAGAAAGGTATGGGAGTTAAGCCAGATTGCAAGAGATTGGTAGAATGGATAGGCCATGGCCATGAGAGGGACTAGACTGATCAGAAAGGCTGCTCAGAAAGTGGTAGTATAAAGGACAATGTCATGATTTAAAAAGAAAAAGTGTTGTTATGGGTATGTTAATGCACTTAAGATTTTAATCTTTGAGTACACTCAAAATATATGTTGTCCATTTCAGTTTGTTTTTAACCACCAGGAAACCATTCATGTTCCTACACACTAATTATCACCACTGATTTTTGGCTGGGTCAGAGGATTATAATAGATGCAATGAATGGTCACACTGTTGACCTAGCTACTGTGCCTGGCTTAGGATTTTTTTTTTGTGGAGTATACTGCTGGTATCTGAAGTCAGGGCACCATGCTCATACTCTTTTCCCTTGGGCTACATGCCCATCACTGGTATTTTTATTTTTGTACAAAGCTACAATGTAGGAAATAAAGACATTTTTCTTTCATTTGAAGAGACACTATTTATTTTGTTAAAGTCAAGCAAGAGGATCTGTTGATAAGTGGTAAGCATCAAGAACAAATGTGCATTTTTGCCAGGGCAGAGTTCAGGGTAAAGCCACAAAAACCGACCACAAGCAAGGTCAGTGTGTGTACAGAGAGTTAAGAGTTCCATAGCTATGGCCACATCTATGCATGCCAAAGACCAACCATTAGCACCAGATTGTTTCTTATGCAATAGTATCACTATTCACAGACATACGTACATGGACTCTCTGGAATTCTTGTGTCCCTGCTAATCAGACATGGAACAGGCAAGCAGGGAATGGACAGGAAGGTCATAAGTGTTATGTGTGCTTCAGTACAAGCATGCTAGTACACTAAATATTGCTCTCCATAACAGACAATCCTGGAACAACACGAAAAGGCAGGTTACAGACAAACAAAATTCCATTATTCACATTTTACACACATATCATTAAAATGTTCACAACACTGTATTTGGGGATAAAGAACCACAGGTAAATAGCTTGGTGTAAATTAAAAACAAAACAGTCTGCAATTCCTTGAAAAGTTTGTGGACAGCCAGCATCACATTTTCTGACATGACCCATGTTCACAGCAAGGGATGACCAAGTGGAAGGAGGAGGCTACAGTGGCAGATCAGGGACTTGGAAAGGTAGACATAGCTTTGTTTAACAGGAATCAACACTTCTGCAAAGGTTTTCTCCCAGCTGATAGTGATAGGCTGTCAACAAGGCCATCTGTGGTCTGCAGTACAGAAGCTTGCCCATCTTGACTCATCTGTACGGAGGACGATATCATCTTCACCAGAGCTTATGGTGTCAACCTCTGTTCCTCTGGCTCAGGATGCATGGATTCTGGTCCTTTAAGACAACTGTATGTGGGAGTGTGAGTACATGCATATACACATGGATCTAAGTGTGCATGTGTATTCTGGAAAGGGTGTGGTTACTGCTCAGAGAGGGACTCTTTGCATCTGCTGCAATCTCAGGGGAAAATAAGAATGAAATAATCCCTTGATAGAACCAAGACTAGTGATGCCTAAACATCAAGTCACTAGAGGGACTTGCTCATCTTTCACCATGCATTTAGTTACATAAACATCTTTTGAACTACACCAAATCTACACACATTTAATGTAAATAAGTTATACATGTCACTGGTGGGTGAACGTTTTTCATGTGTTTATCTGCCATACATACATCCTCTTTGGTGAAGTGTCTAGTCAAGTCTTTTGCCCACTTTTTTCAAATGGTTTGTTTTCTACTGTTGAGAGCTCTTCATACAAATCTTTTATAAGATATATGAAGCCATGGAAGTGGGGTATGTTGGTAAACCCAGAGCTCAGGAAGTGGAGGCAGGAGGATCAGGAGTTCAAGGTCATCTGGACTACATAGGGAGATTGAAGCCAATCTGGGTTACATGAGACTCTTCTAAAACAAACAGATAATAATAAAAACAAAATGAATAACAAATCTGACACATGATTTACAAATATTTTTTTCCCAATCTCTGTCCTGTTAACTAGAAACCAATAGAATGACGGTGTTGCTTTAATGAGTAACACTCTATTTGACATCTTTTTTAACTGCTAAGGACAAGGAATCTTGAAACCGTTTCAAATGTAAGCACTCCACAAGACCTCTGACAAACTAGAAGATGGAATCTTAAGTCTTAAGGTACATGGCACGTGGCTCACGGTAACAGACAGAAAAGTAAAGAGAGACAAGCCACCGATTATCATTAAGGATCACATACACAAACAAATTAGTGTTTTGGGGAAAGAAACTTCAAAATACTCCATTAGTCTCAGGAAATAAAGAGCAAGCAATAACATTATTAGTAGACACACTTTTAACCAAGTAATGTCACTTGACTTCAAATTATTTAAGATGTGACAAGAAGGACACTAGCTATCTGTTTGTTTGGGGTGTTTCAAAGCATGCACACAAGTTATGTGATGATTTTACTCTTGGAATGAATGCATCCAATATATAGGTTGTTCATTTCATAGTTGTTTTTTAACCACTAGGAAACTGTTCATGTTTCCAACACATCAATAATTTATCATCATCACTGATTTTAACTGGGTCAGAGAATGCCATGATGATAGATCAATGAATGCTCACATTGTAGAATGAATAAGGACAGAACACACAGCAGCCCATGCCTGGCTAAATCACAAGGGTCCTTCCTCTCCTGCACCATAGGGATGTATTTGGCATCTACACAGGGGAGGAACAATGGTGCCACTGCTGCAAAGGAGTGCTTACGTGTATTGTGGGCCCAGCCTTTGGATATCCTAGGGGACCCTGCTGACCATCAAAGCCTGGCATTCTGTGAAGTCACGTGTAATACAAAACTCTGCTCAGCAAACCAAGAGAAATGAAAAACATAAATAAATCATCACATACTAACAGGACATTATTGCTTTTTTACTAGTCTTGTGGCTCCAGAGTGTGTCTCTCCAAAGATGGGCAAATAGGCTTGGGTTCACTCTTATATTCCCAGGCATTAATCTCCAAGGCTCAGTGTCCAACTTCTGCAGGGATGGGCTTCTCATTTGCTTCTCTCAGGCTGTAGGCTGTCGAACAAGCACTTGAGCTGCTCTTCACCCAAGTGGATTTTATCTTCCAGCTCTCGCTGCTCAATGATAAGGGCTGACTTCATCTTCACGAAGTGCTCATAGTCAGCCAGGTTCTCCTCGCTGAGGTAGGTGGCTAGGATGTCAAACACAATGCGCTCGCGACGGTCCAGGTTCTCTTTAAGCTCCTTGGCATCCTCATGCTGCTGGGTTAGGATTCTCTGTTTCTCCAATAGTGACTGCTGTTGAGGGAGAAGGAGACAGAAAGTCCTGTTGAGGCAGAGCTAAAGCAAAGATTCTGGCCAATCCCTTAAAAGCCCTGCAGCTTTTGGAGACTGGTCTCATAACTGTTCATGGAAACCTTGAAGCCACATGGGATCTCCATAGGAATGACCATGATGTAGTCTACATGTGCTTTTAACTATGGATAGCTTCTCTAGAGCTCCTCCTTCCCTCGCCCTTCCAGAAGCCACTCATAGGCCCCTCTGGGTTTCCTCTCTCTGTCTGTGCCTTCTCTCCCATTTGCCTTAAAATCAGGGACCAGCAGCTAGACAGTTCTGACATGCTTCAAAGGGACAAAGGACTTGGGGATCCTGTTTGTCCCAAAATTGAAAAAGGGGAATACTGTAAGTTGAGCCTTGTGGCTCAGGCTTGTAATCTCAGCTACTCAAGAGACTGGGGCAGAAGGCTCATAAGTGAAAGGTATGTCTTAGCTATGAAGTAAATTCAAATCTAGTCCAGACAACTTACTGACACCTGGCCTCAAAATAGAAAGCAAAAGTAGGATTGGGCTATAGTTCTGCAGTAAAGAGTTTTCCTAGTACGAATGAGTCTATGGGTTCCATCCCTAGTACGAGAGGGAGAGGAGAGGGAGAAGGAAAGACATGGATGGACGGACACGGATGGACACAGGCACACACGCCACACACGGACTGAGACTTATTGATTCTAGGGCAGGATTAAACTCTTCGACAAGAGGTGGTACAAAGACAAAGAAAGGCCAGAAAAGGAAGACACAGAGGGTAGAGCTGCTGGGAGGTGTGTATGGAACAGCCCTGAACTCTTTTCAGTGTCCTGTTTGGGAAGGGGGTGCACAGTGTCCTTTGGACAGACAATCATGTCTCTAACACACAAAACTCACAATCACTGCTTTCAGTTTACAGAATATACACATCCAATAGAAACCCTACCAAGTCCAAGATGAAGGAAACTAAGAAGGAGAGGTGAATGCATTCAATGTCTTCACAGGGAGACTGGCAGAAAGGTCAGAAAAGAGGGGCTATTACTTGTTCCTAAATGTGGCCTGAACCAGAAACTCTCTTTGGGATTTCCATGACCATATAAGCTTTAGAGAGCATCTTGTACCGTCAGGCCTGAGACAAACAATGAGGTAAGATATTTTCATGGAAAGAGGCCAGATAAGGCCAATGAACTCCAAACAGAAAATAAGCAGACATTAACTTGTTCTACAAATGTAGTTCAGGTTGTGAAAAATCACATGGATGCCTGAAAGTTACTAAGATAGTGGTGGGAGACTGCAGTAGATGTTTTATTAATCAAGAGATTCATTTTGAAATTCTATAATATGCAAAGAACACAGAAAGATGTTTGACTGAAACATAACTTATGAAATAAAGCCAGCAAGTAATATATTTCTCTTCTTTTGAGTACAAGAAAACTGAGGATACACATGGTGGTACATGCCTGTAATGCCCCCTGCTCCCTGCATCTCATTAGCTTGTTCTGTCTGTCAACTGAAAGAAAACCGAGAGAGTGGACCTCAGCTATACCAGAGTACCACGCTCTAAACAGTATACAGACCATGCACAGACACTATGAGGCTTCTAAGAGCTGACTTTCTTAGCACCTCAAGGACAGCCTTTCTAAAGGATTCTCACCACTTCCCATTTCCCAAACAGATGTGTTTGCAAGTACCCGATCTCCAGGAGAAGGACTGTCATCCAAATTATTGAGGGCATTTTCTACACGGGCCAGGCGGCCTGACAGTGACAGCAGGAGGTTCACCACTTTGTCCAGGTCCCCAATGAACATCCGGAACTTGTCAAACTCATTGGGTTTGCAGACATCTTTCACAATGGCTTCCACCTCATCCCCCAGAGCATTATTGGCTTGGATGTCCTCCAGCAGGCTTTCACGGGCTTCCCGGAGCACCTGCAGCTTGCGGCTGATACTGTCGATGAGCTCTTGCTGTAGGGCACAGGGAGGCATGGGACACTTGTTAGAATGATCCCAAGCTGGTGCCCTAAGTTAGTGTAGCTAAATCATACACAGCCAGAGAAGAATTCAGCCAGATTGGGTGTGTTAGTCTCTGCACTATTAAATAATGAGGGATTTGTAAAACCAGTGAGAGGAGATCTCTCTCTCCTCTCTCGTTCTTTCTCTTTCTCTCTCTCTCCTCCCTCCCTCTCTCTCTCCTCTCTCTCCTCCCTTCCCTCCCTCCCTCTCTCTCTCTCTCCTCTCTCTCCTCCCTACCTCTCCCTCCCTCTCCCTCCCTCCCCCTCCCTCCCTCCCTCCCTCCCTCTCTCTCTCTCTCTCTCTCTCTCTCTCTCTCTCTCCTCTTCCTCCTGAATGCTAGGATTACAGATATGAGTCACCACACCTAGATTTTAAAGATATTTTGGTATACTTTGTGGGGTAGGGTGCTAGAGAATGAATCTAGGGCCTAATACATGCTAGGTAAGCATTCTGCTAATGAGCTACATCCTTGGCCAAGGCATGTACTTTTATTTATTTATTTTATTTTTTATTTTTTTGGTTTTTTTCGAGACAGGGTTTCTCTGTGTAGCTTTGTGCCTTTCCTGGAACTCACTTGGTAGCCCAGGCTGGCCTCGAACTCACAGAGATCCGCCTGGCTCTGCCTCCCGAGTGCTGGGATTAAAGGCGTGCGCCACCACCGCCCGGCTGCATGTACTTTTAAATACATTATACTATGAAATAACAAGACCTAACTGTGAAGAAGGCAGTTCCCTGTATGTACATTGCAGCCTAAATTAAAATGCTTCAAATTCTATGACTTCTGTTTTATGAGGAAAAACTGAAAATGCTGATGTTTTAAAAAATATGGACAAATGGCTAGAAGAAAGTACATAATACTCTAATTCAAAGTCTGTAAGAGACCAAACCCCCATATCTCCCTATTTAATTCCCAGGACCCAAAAGGTTACCATTTTCTACACTGAAAGGACTTTTTAAAAATGTATAAACAGGTCACTATACTCCTTCCCTAACATTTCTAACATAATTAAGATCAAGCTGTGCTATCTTTCAAATCACCAGGTTGGGAGCAATAGATAACACTGTCCTTGCAGTGATTGTCATTAGTGCTAAATAACATGACCCTGAGTTAATTTCCAAATAACATGACCCTGAGTTAATTTCCAACCTTCTTTCCTCCTTCAAGAAGCAAAGCTGAAGCCTTGCCCAAAAGCTTCCCAAAGACCACCAAGCTCCCACCAAGGGCATCTGTACCTGCTTCCTTTTCCCTCACACAGTACACATTCGTAGGGCTTGAGCCCGGCATCACTCTGTGTTTCTGCAATCATGGGCATTTGTCTCTTTCTATCCATTCACCCTATTCCAACTGTCTAATACCTGATGTAGTATAGCAAGGATTGGCAAACTTTTCCCATTAGGGGCTAGAGAGTAGATATTTTGCTCCTTGTAGGTTACATGGTCAGTGACAGTCAATATGTAAACAAATGGATGTAGCTATGTTTCAATAAAACCTATTTCCAAAAGCAGGTAGAGGGTAAGGTTTACCAAGCCTATGATAGACATGGAGGTTTTTTGTTGTTTATTTTTGGGGCTATGGCCATACATAATTCCAATGATAACACAATGTCCCTTAGAGAGGGCTCCTTTCTTTAGTCTGCCTACAGTTGGATCCTCAAGGGCTTTGTAGAAAGGTTGGAACATAATTAAGCATAAAGGGCTTATTCATGCTGAACCATGTCTTGCATGAAAAGCAAGTACAAACGACCTCAGAGATGTTATGCAAGGTCTCTGCTGGGGTGACAAATGAGTGGTCCTACTACCTTTCACTGACCTAGCATACAATTCTGAGGGAAGGGTTGTTTTTTTTTTTTTTAGGAAGGATCTCACTGTGAAGCTCAGGCTGGCCTTGAACTTACTGTGCAGCACAGACTGATTCAAACTTGCCACTCTCCTGCCTCAGCCTCCTTAGTGCTGGGATTGCAGGCTTATATCACCATGATAGGGGATTTGGTTAGCATAAAGGAAGGTCTTGCTTTTTCTCCCAGGCTGGTCCGGAACTCCTGGCCTTAAATGATTCTATTGCCTCAGCCTCCTTAGTAGTTGTGAGTTGGAACTACTGGGATGAGGTCAGATTTGTGCTTCTCCTTCTTACCTTCTTAACTGACAGGTCATGGTCCAAGTCACCCCCTGAATACTCCTCAGGCTCCGGTAGGTCTTTCATCTTGATAAGCAGTTCTGCCTTGGGGGCTGATGTGCTGTAATAGGCAGAATTGGTGGCCAAGGACACGACCCCTGGCACACCTGAGTCCTGTTTCCTGGGTGAAGAGGCCAAAATTTTAATCAGCTGTGGCACATGCACACTCTTTGAACCCAGTACCTGGGCTGTGACAAATGGCACTGACAGAAGGACAAGAACCAGGAAGATGAGAAAATAAGGTGAAACCCAAAATATTAAAACAACAAAACAAAATAAAAAACCCTTCCCCACCACTACTCACAAGGTTAGGAATTGGAGGCCTTGCTATGCTAGGCAAATGCTTTCATACCCAGTTGTATCCTCAACCCAGGACCATAGGGTTTTAATTTTTAAGTGTGTGTGTGTATGCTCTGTTGACTCTTGAACAGAACCGCTGGGCTCCATATACTAGATACCAACTGTACACCCCCAGATGTAGCAAACAAAAATGTTTTTAGACACTGTCACATGGTCACATGTCTCTCATAGAAGCAAAACTGCTTTTTCCATCAGTGATTCAGATTAAATCCAAGTCCTTACACAAGCTAGGTTAAGTACTTTACCTCTGAGATGCATCCTTGGCCCCTAGGTAACTGAAATTTAAACAAACAAACAAACATCTCCAATGAAAGAAAATGTTGTTCAATATAACATCCTTACGCTAGAAGTAGGCTTTGTAATGTGACTCAAAAGTAGGTGAAAGGCAGGTAGACAAAAGATACACAGATTAAACACATGTAAAGATTACATGATAGCTGTAGGACACATATACAATACTAGCTTTCAGGAATCTAAGGCAGGAAGATTTTGAGTTCAAAGTCAGTATAGGTAACTTGTCTCAAAACAAAATAAAATGGGTAAGGCTTATAGCTTAGTGATGACAACTTTGCCTAATATATATGAGGACCTGGATTCTAGTTCAACATTATCAAGAAGTGGGTAGGAGGGAGATAGGCAGGTGTGCTGGCATATTCCTATAACCCTAGCATTTGGGAAGCTGAAGTAGAAGGACCAAGATCAAGGGAGCCCAAGTTTCACAGAGAGACTCTACTTCAAAAACAGATAGATAGATAGATGGACAGGCATGTGAAATACATATTGAAAATAGAGATTAGATGATGGACACAACACAGGTGAGTGGGTGGACAGTTAGCCTCACACTAACAGAGGGTTTCTCAGGGCCAGCACTGAGAGTATCTGGGGGCTGTCTAATACACTATAAGATCTTTAGTAGTATCTGCTACCTATCCACTAGATGTCAGGAGTGCTCCATTCTCCAGTGTAACAGAGAAACCTACCAAATTACACTCCTAAAGGTCCCTAGAGAGGATGGATATGTGGATACTGCCATAATCATGCCAGTTGTAAGCTAAGGACATTAGCAGCTGCAGTGGGCATCATCTTACCTCTGCTAAGTCCCATACAATCAAATCCAGGTATGATAATTTAAAAACTTACCAAAAAGTGCTAAGTACTGGGGACCCCCCAAAAAAACCATCACCTCCCCCTAGAAGCAATCATGAATATCAATATACCCCTAAGTCCCTTCTTTCACTTCTAAGCCTACAAGATAGGGAATGAGGAACAAGCACCCCATGTTATGTGCCATCTACTCACTTGTCCTCTGTGACTCTAGGTGAGGGGACTTTGGGAAGCAGCTTCCTCCGCTGCTGAGCTTCCTCCAGAAGGTACTCGTCTTTGGGGAAAATTCCCTCCATCAGATCCATGGTGGTTTTGATCTTCACACTGGGGTCCAAGATGTCAGCCAATGACTTGTCCTTTCCCACAATCTCTCTGGCTAATTCTTCAGACTTCAAGTCATCCTCAGTCTTCTCCTTGGCCTTCCCATAGTTGAGTGAGGGAGGGGAAGAACAGCTATCTCTGACAGGAGGTGCAGGGGTGCTGGGAGGCCGGGGCTCTGGAGGGCGGGCTCTATAAGGGGCTTCCACCTCCTGTCGTGTGTACACACAGAAGCGGGAGTAGCACTGCTCCGATGTACTCAATGTCTTGATCTGGTCCCTCTCCAGCCCACTGGGCAGGGCAGGCAGCTCGGCTGGGCATGCGAGACTCTGGCGGCTCTCCTTCTCGGGCTGGCTTTCTGAGTGTACAATTTTTATGGGCACCATCTTCACAGTGGTGTTGTTGTCCATCACCCGCTCAATTCTGCAAAGACAAGGGCTGTCCTCTGAAATCTTGACATGTACAGATTCCCACCCACGATTCATACAGGGATCCCAACACAAAGACCCACTGTCAACCAGCCAAACAGAAAGACAAGGCAGAGGTTGGAAATTGTCCTCATCTGACCCCTCACATGGTCTCCGGATGCCTAGCAGTCCAACTCAAATTCTGCCACACACCTATAGGCACTGGAGGGAGAGAGAGGTCCTGGATGACATGAGATATTTAATATTCATTTTTGCTTTCTAATGAAATTGGGCATTGAACCCAGGGACTTAGGTGAAGACAAGTGCTCTATCACATGAGCTATAGCTAACATTCCTTGATTTCGTGTTTTTATTCTGAGGGCAATGCAAAAAAAAAATGCATCAAGCCCCATTTGTTAAATCTCCCTTTGTAGGAAAAATCATCAATGGATAGAATTACTACAAGTCTAAAAGTAGGTTGTTGTATACCATCAGGTGCCTGGGTGGCCTTCCATGTCCCTGGAAAACTTCTATTGGGAGTTGCTGTGCTTGGAATCATTGCTGAGTACCTCCACCCATGAGTCCCTCTCAGGAGCTTTGTCATGTGCACTGCATCCCATGTTCCATGTGTCTCCCACATATTAACACCTGAAGCCACCCTTACAAAGACATGCCACTGTAAGGGATACCCTGCTGTACACAGGGAATTCACTTGTTCTGTTTTAGTGTCAGTGATTTACCCAGGGCAAACATGTTTTAAAAACGACAAGTTTTTAGCTAGGCATAGTAACTCATGCCTGTAATCCTAGCACTAGGGAGGCTGAGGCAGGAGGACTGCTGAGTTTGTGGCTAGTCTGTGATAAACAGCAAATAGATTCTCAAAAAAGCAAAAAAGAAAACTAGCATTCACTGGGACAAAAAGCCACTTCCTAGATTCACACAGGTCTTCAGCCCCAATGTAAGACACTCTGTTTTGCTATGAAGCCCACTGTGTTCACTATAGTTCTAATGACTTGAGAAGCTATAGGCACCCTAAGCTGACTGGCATATGAAAATGCTATCACATAGGTCATCTTATTGCTTTTCCTATTGCTATGATAAGAACGTTTATGTGCACCCAAATTCCTAGGCTGATTTTTTTTTGAGACAGGGTCTCACTATGTAGACCAGGCTGGCCTCAAACACACAGGAGCTGCCTCTGCCTCTTGAGTGCTGTAATTAAAGGCGTGTGCCACAATGTATGGCTTCCTAGGTTGAAATTTAATACCCTAGGTATGGTCTTAGAAGATAGAGCCTTAGAGAAGTGGTATGTTGAAAATGGAGCCTCATGGATGGTATTAATGTCTTTATAAAAGAACGTTACAGAGTTTCCTGCCTCCTCTACATATGAAGACATAACAAGAAGGTGCCATCTATGAAACAGGTTTCTGAATCTGCCACACTTTGACCTTGGTCTTCCAGTCTCCAGAAACATGAGCAAGCCATCTCTGTTGTTTCTAAGCCAATTAGCCCATGGGATTATATTAAAGCAGAAACTACCAGACTAGGACACCTTCTGTCCAGATCCCTAACAATGCTATTAATTGAAAGATGTTTAAATGATACCATTTAAGACATAAAACACAGCTGAGGCATACACGTAAAGCTGTGGATTCAACACCATCACTGGAGACTGTGCTTGTTTTTTTTTTCTTGTGGTTGTTAATGCCATACAAGCTAACATCTTCTGGGAAGAAAGAAGTGCAATTGGAAAATGCCTCCATCAGACTGGCCTACAGGCAAGTCTGGTGGGGCATTTTCTTGATTAATTTGATGTGGGAGGGCCCAGCCCACCGTGGCAGGTGGTCCTGGGTTGTATGAGAAAGCAGGCTGACAAAACTGTACAATGGGAAAAAGAAAGCATCTTCAACAAATGGTGCTGCCATAACTGGATGCCAACATGTAGAAGACTGCAAATAGATCCATATCTATCGCCAAGCACAAAACTCAAGTCCAAGTGGATCAAAGACCTCAACATAAATCCAGTTACACTGAACTTGATAGAAGAGTAGGAAGTAGTCTTGAACGCATTGCCATACGAGACCACTTCCTAAATACAACACCAGTAGCACAGACACTGAAAGCAACAATTAGTAAATGGGACCAACTCAAACTGAGAAGCTTTTGCAGGGCAAAGGACATGGTCAATAAGACAAAATGACAGCCTACAGAATGGGAAAAGATCTTCACCAACCCCACATCTGACAGAGGGTTGATCTCCAAAATATATAAAGAACTCAAGAAACTAGACATCAAAATACCAAACAATCCAATTAAAAATAGATTACAGAGCTAAACAGAGAATTCTCAAGAGAAGAATCTCAAATAGCCAAGAGACATTTAAGGAATTGCTCAACATCCTTGCATCAGAGAGGTGCAAATCAAAACAACTCAGATACCATCTTACACCTGTCAGAATGGTTATGATCAAAAACACTGATAACAGCTTATGCTGGAAAGGATGTGGAACACTTTTGGTGGGAGTGCAAACTTGTACAGCCACTTTGGAAATCAGTATGGTGGTATCTCAGAAAATTGGGTATCAATCTACCTCAGTACCCAGCTATACCACTCTTGGGCATAACCCAAGGAATGCTCAATCATACCAGAAGGACACATGCTCAACTATGTTCATAGCAGCATTATTTGTAATATCCAGAACCTGGAAACAACCTAGATGCCCCTCAACCAAAGAATGGATAAAGAAAATGTGGCACATATATACAATGGAATACTACTCAGCAGTAAAAAACAATGACATCATGAAATTTGCAGGCAAATGGATGGAACTAAAAAAATATCATCCTGAGTGAGTTAACCCAGAGTCAGAAGGACAAACATGGTATGTATTCACTCATAAATGGATACTAGATGTAAAGCAAAGGATAACCAGACTACAACCCACAGCTCCAGAGAAGCTAGCTAACAAGGAGGACCCTAAGAGGGACACATGGATCGCAATGGAGGGTAGAGGATGGGGGATGAGAACATAAGGGAATGGTATGAGCTGGAACAGGGACAGAGTGGGAGAGCAAGGAAAGAGATACCATGATAGAGGTAGATATCATGGGAATAGGGAGAAACAGAGTGCTAGGGAAGTTCCCAGGAATCCACAAGGATGACCCCACCTTAGATTACTAGCAATAGTGGAGAGGGTGCCTGAACTGGCCTACTCCAGTAATCAGATTGGTGAATACCCTGTCATCATAGAGCCTTCATCCAGTAACTGATGGAAGCAGATGCAGAGATCCACAGACAAACACCAAGCTGAGCTCCAGGAGTCCAGTTGCAGAGGGAGAGAAGAGGGATTCTATGAGCAAGGGGCATCAAGAGCATGATGGGGAAACCTACAGAGACAACCAAACCAAACTAGTGGGAACTCATGAACAGCAGACCAATAGCTGTAGAGCCTCCATGGAACTGGACTAGGCCCTATGCATAGTCGAGATACTTGTTTAGCTTGACCTGCTTAAGGGTCCCCCTGGCACTGGTATCAGGATCCATCCCTGGTGCATGAGTGGGCTTTTTGGAGCCCAGTGCCTATGGTGGGACATCCTACACAGCCTTGGTACAGGGTGAGGGAATTGGACCTGCCTCAACTGAGTGTACCAGGCTCTGCTGTCTCCCCATGGGAGGCCTTGCCTTGGAGGAGGTGGGAATGGGGGTTGGGCTGGGAGGGGAGGCTGGGGGGCAGGAGGAGGGAGGAGAGGGACATCTGTGGTTGGTATGTAAAATGGATAGAACACTTCTTAATAATAAACAAAAGAAAAAAAAGAAAGCAGGCTGAGCAAGCCATGGAGAACAAGCCAGTAAGCAGTGTTCCTCCAAGGTCTCTGCTTCAGTTCCTGCTCTGATTTTCTTTAATGATGGCTTATAAGCTGTGAGGTGAAAGAGATCCTTTCCTCCCCAAGTTGCTTTTGGTCATGGACCTTATCACAGCAGTAGAAACCTAACCAGGACAGAGATATAATTACATCAATGATGTCCTTTCTAAAATGATTTTTTATTATTTGAGAATTCCACACATACTCATGTTTCATCAAATCTACCCCACATTCCCCCACTATTCCTTCCCAATTTTATGTTGCTTTTTGTTTTGCTTTGTCTTTTAAAACCTCTGAGTCCACTTAGTGTTGTTAGTATGTGCATGGGTGTAGGACTGTCTATTGAAGCATGGGTAGCCTCCCAGGGGACACATCTTGAAAGAAAAACTGACTCTCCCTCTCTCATTGATTGCCAACAGCTTCTCAGTAGGGGGTGGGACTTTGTGACATCTATGCTGGGATTTGTCTGGCTTAATCTTGAGCATGTAGTCAAAGCCACTGTGAGCTCCTACGTGCAGCTGTCCTGTGCTGTCTGGAAAACAGTTTCATTGTAGTCATTCACTACCTTTGCCTCTTACAAGCTTTCCAGCCACTCTTCCACAACGATCTCTGAATTTTGGGAGAAAGTGTGATATCATGTCCCATTTAGGGTTGAAAACTTAGAAGTTTCATATTCTCTGCAAGAGTTATTGATCTCTATGTTAATTGTCTTCTATTGCAAAAGAAGTTTATCTGATGAGGGTTAAGATGTACCAACCTATGGGTATAAAGACAAGTACTTAAGGGAAGGTTTAATGCCATGTCCACTTAGCAGAATGATAGTAGTTGCTTTTCTTTCTCTCCTAGGGTCTAAGACCTACCCAGCTATGAGTGCCTGGCACTGTTAACAGTAGCAGACGTAAGTTCTGTTTTGTGGAGCAGCTCTTAAATCCAATCAGAAAATAGTTGGTTACTCCCATAACATTCCTATCACTACTGCACCAGTAGATCTTTCCAGGCAATTCATCATAATTCCCAGAGTTCACAGCTGGGTAAAATTGTTGATTAGTTTATTCCCCTAGTATTGTCAATAACACCTTCTAGCAATATGAAATATAGCCAGTGGTGATGAAGCTTTTAGGTCATTACCAGCTTGTTTTCATGTTTTATGATTCAAGTATGTGGTATCTTCAGCAATAGGATCTTACCATGAAGTTCTGGAAGGTAACCAACAGCAATGGTAATAACCTATAATGAATGGGGTCTATGAGACCTTACTGACCAATAACTTGAAAAGAGGTAGCCCACGACACTGGGCTTTTTATCTGAGTTATTCAGAAGTTTAAGGGTGGTAGGTTGAGGAACTAAGGATATAGCTCGGTTAATAGAGTCCTTGGCTATCTCAGCACTTTAGAGGTTAGAGGCAATAGGATGAAGAGTTCAAAGACATTATAGGTTACACAGACAATCTAGGCTACACAGTGAGTTCAAGACCAACCCAGGTTATACATCAAGATCCTGTATCCAAAAAACAAGAGGGAAGGAAGGAGAGAGGGGGAAATTTAAAGAGTATGAAACTACTGGACATTATTCAACTTTACCTAAAGATCTTATACTTAGGTTAAATCTGATTTTGATCACTGGCAAAACATGCTTAGTCTGCATGTGCCAGGGAATAAGACAAATGGAAATGAATTCGGCACGAAGGGGATCATGATGTCACTAAATTATAACTGGTCATTTGAGCTGTGGCTCATTCTCCACACAATTTTCTATGATCAAATTTTACCCCAGTGTTTGAAGCTGCAGCAAGGCTCCAGCAACAAACACTGAAGGGATGATAGAATGAATACATAATATGCTGTCATAGGACAATACCTTGCTGAGTTGTCTTCATGGATAAGCAGGGGAGGCTTATCTGTCAGCTTCTGTGGGGCAAATTGGGGTGAAGGGGAGCGAGAGGTTTCCATGGTTGATGTCTGTAGCTGTCGACACTTGGAAGAGAGCTGGGCTTCTGGCTGAGGGAAAGTTGTATCCTCATTCACATGCTGGCTGTCTTGTGGCTGGGCACTGCTGAGCACAGAGGGGCTACAAGAGAAGGACAGGTGAATCACACACACATCCGGGACTCAGTAAATGGTGCTAGTGAGGACTTGTTGGGACAGCTAGGTAAGAGTCTGTAGGTGTACTCTCTAGGCTCCAGTACTTTTTGGGCTCGAGATTAGGCAGTGAAGGCTTCTGAGGTGGGGCTGTCTTCTTAAGGAGCCAGGCTGTGCTCACTGGCTACAAAGTGTGCTCCTGAACAGGTAGGGGTGAAGAGGGACCCTGGATTTGGGGTCCCAAGTCTGACAGTGTGCTCTCCTCTGAGTATGTATATTTTTGAGATAGAGTCCTGGCTTGGTCCAGGCCATCCTGTGGAGGTTCTGGGTCTTCCTGGGAGTGGAACAATTCTGGCAATGTGGAATTGGCCTGTGGGTTCTGATTCAGTAGGTCCTGCAATGTTCTCAAACTGACTTCCTAACACTGGGCATCTGCTTGTCTAGAGGAAGATGTAATAAAAATTAGGCAAGAATTCTGATTAGGATCTTCTCTGTTAGATCATTTTAAGGACTACAAATTTTCTAACACCTGTGCCTACTGCCACTTGTGATGTGGTAACAATCTATAACACATGCTATATATGTTAGGCTATATGTGGAACATGTTCTATATGAAACACGAGGCATTAATGGCACATACATATAGATCTGGCATAGACACACAAGTATATACCAACTACATTTCTTTAATTAAAAGAAATACACCCCCACAAAAAAGAAAAAAAATCATATTTTTGTGAAAATTGTCAGATCCAAATATATTTGGGACTATTTAATTCAAGTTGTAATATTTTTACACAGCATATGGAAAATGCTTATATATAGGGACAGACCTTTCTAAGATGGGCCAAGAATCAATTCAGTCATAAAACCTTTAAAATAAGACATGACAAATGAGAAAAACAACAACTGCTTATTTTGGAAACAGCTATGACTTACAGAGTTTCCCCTTACACTATCATTTCATATGAACATACATATATACGCATAGGCCACATCCATGACATACATATAGAAGCTGGTCTGGATATATGATTATTCATGTCAAAAGCCTATGGGCTGACTAGCAAATTTATAACAATTCAGTGTGTAGTACCTCTGCCAACAAACCACACCAAACCAATCCCAAGGAGAAAACAAACCTCTGACTTAAGGAAAAGAGCAATTCTCAGTCTAAAATTGACTTTTGAGCTGGGCATGGTGTTTCATGTCATCCCAGTATTTGGGAGGCCAAAGTAGGAAGACTACATCTAGTTAAAAGTCAGACTGGGCTACAAAGTGAGTTGTCTCAAAAACAATCAGTTGACTTTTGAGGGATACAGTATATAGTTCAGTGGTAGGACACTTGCCTAATATGTGCAAGGCTCTAAGTTTGATCAATAGGTTGCGGGGGGGGGGGGGGGGGTGGAGACACAATACCAAGAAAACTTTTCTACTAACTCAAAGGACAGTATGTATAAGTAGCAATGAGATGATATAACCTAGTCACTGACAAGAGGAATGCAGACCTGTCCCTGTTTCATATCCAGAGTACTTAAGATGCCTCTTTTTACAACCTGGATATGATGCATAATATTTCGGTGTTACAGGTGGGGTCTGAAGGACTATTATACCAGTGTCCTGCCTTGTGGTTGCTAACCCTGCTGTGTTCTGAGGAGAGGAGAGGGGAAGGTCCCGTCCTGGGTTAACACATACTCCAGAGTAGAGCACTCTGATGCCCTACATTCCAAAAACAGAGAGCTAAACAACAACGGAGCTAGAAACTGACATCCTAATGACACAGCAGCAGTAAAGACTCATTAAGGGAAATTATTTCCTCTTGCAGAGAGGATGAAATCTCTGGCCTGTGTAGAGAGTTAACATTCCTGAGCTGGCTACTGACCTGGCTAAGGGACTCAAGAGGATGGGTTCATCTTTAAACCATGCTAAGAAAGATAGAAGGAATAGCCTTTTACTTAGACAATGTACTTTTCCTTCCCTGAATTCCTGCTCCCTAGTGTAGTCCCCAAGCTGCTACGATGTTCTGTAGGGTTTGCCTGCCTTAGAAGAGTATAACCTTTCCTTTTGTTGTTGTTTGTTTCTTCTTTTTCAATGCTATCCAGAGCCTAAGTATACTTTCTCTAGTACTTGGGCTTTTTCATTCTTCCTAGGCAGACACTCTACCAAATAAGCTACATCCCATGCCCCTTTTCACATTCTATAGAGCTTTCCTTCACACCATGTGGCTGAGCTCCATACTGGCTTAACTCAATCAGCATGGTTCTTTTTCCTTCTCTCCTCCAGTCTGCCCTTCTGCATAGCTGCTTAGGTTTCCAGTTCACCTGCCCTAAGGGTCTTCTTTTAAACTCTAATAAAATTGTCCTCAAGTTTCTGTTTGAGGCCATTCTTAAATTCTTTTATTCATGAGGGGACCCCAATTTCCCTGGTATCACCAAGAAAACAAAACAACTTAGGTCCTCATGAAATGCTTTCCCTAATATTAACTTTCTGAAATGTAGTAGCCATGTGCCCAGCCAAAAGATCCTGGTACTTAGTATTATTTGATAAACAGTCACTGTATTATATAACCAGAATCAAATGAGCTGCAATTTATTGCTAAAATCTAAGTATTGTTAGTTACTCACATGCACACTGGTTAAAAAGGAAACATACTTGCAAAATGACACTGGCTGGGAGGGTTGAAAGCATGCTTTCACACATGCTAAACAAGCACTATACTGCTAAACTATATGAGCAGTTTAGCAATCTCTGATTTCTAATCTCTGATCTCAGACTGAAGTGTCTGAGACTTACTCAGAAACTGAAGAGAACTCATACACCAGAGACAGCTTCACTTGCAAAGAGGGGTTGGTAAATAATGACTTAGGGCAAAAGATACGCTGAGAAAACATGCCTTGAGCTAGACTGGGCTTCTCTCCTGGCTAGATGACCCTCTAGGTTCCTTCTCGGCTTACTCTAGAAACACCCCACGTAGCATTTGAGGGCTCTGTATTTGGCAGAGCAGTGCATAGCAGAGCTCACTTATGCTAGCAGTTTAGTACACAATAATCTACCTAGAAAGTTATCTTCATTCACACTACAATTGACACAACAATTTAATGTACCTTCCCCCAACAATTCCCTTCTCCATTTTTCTTGGCCCTTTTAAACTCCAAGTTTGCAGAGTCAACACTATAAAATCACCAACTGATTTTAGCTGCCCTAGTTAATAAGAATCCAGTAAATCAGGTCACAGATATACATAATAAAAAAGGACCAAAATGTAACAATTTTGAGTTCTGTTGGGACCATATTCAAATCTGTGTGTTTTTAATGGTGTTCAAGAGATATATAATGCAGACAGAGGCTAGTATGACATGTTTGTGCTATGTTTGAATGTAGGCATATATTTATAAATAGATGTATATTGTATATGCTATGTATGCTGTCTGTGCGGATGTGTATGTGAATGTACATGTGTGCCAGTAGTGCATATATGTGTATGTGCATATCCATACTCTGTTGTATGTTATATATGTAGATTTATGGCTGTGTATATGTGGCTGCGTCATGCACATACATCCTTTGATTTATACTATTTTTCTAAATCAGGGTCTCACACAGTACATAACTATTGATGCAAAACCCACAATTCTCACCTAAAAGGGAATAAGAGATAGCTTATTCAGGGGCCATATTTGAGTAACTGTAACCCAGGAACACAGGTTTAGGTTGCCCCGAATTCCATGTTCAAATATGGAAGAAGATTTATAGTTTTACCAAACAAAGAAAGTCATACAAGGCAAGTTTAAAATACACTTGGTGTGTACACCAGAGGTGGTTACAGAAAGATGGGGGGATTTTTCCTATAGGCCTGAGATGTTATCTGATGACATTCTTAGTTTTGGGATGGTAGAAGCTAATGGTCCACTAAGTGAATAGATTCCAAAGGTTTTAATCTATTAGTCACAAGATATTCCAACACAGAGGTAGACAAGAAATGGTTATTCACAGGGCTAAAGCTAGTCCAAGTGAAGTAGTCCAACATCTTCATATTACTGCAGTTTTAAACAGCCAATTAGCCTGTACAAACACAGCTTCTCTCCAGGAATTTTCATTGATACTATGTTAGCCTCAAACTTACCATCCTTCTGCCTCAGCCTCCCAAGTGCTGAGATTAGGCACGTACCACCTTATCTGGCTTTTGGTGGGGATAACTAGGAAATGAACCCAGGGCTTTATGCATGCTAGCATGTGCCCTACCACAGAACTATATCCTTAGCCCCCTTTTTTTATTTTAAGACAGGGTCTCAGTAAGTTGTTCAACTTGTCCTTTAATTCATCCCATAGCCCAAGTAGGCCTTGCACTTGTGATCTATCAGCTTCAGTCTGTTGAATAGCCAGGCTTGTCCATTTTTCATTCATTTGAAATAAAACACAAGTGACAAAAGGCCTATAATCTTGGCACTTAGGGGGGCAGAGATAGGAGGATCAGGAGACCAGGAGTTCAGGGTTATCCTTTGATTGCATAGTGCGTTCAAGTAGCTTGGGCAATATGGCGATCCTAAGAAAGGGAAGGCAGCAAGGGAGGCAGGAGTGAGGGATGGATGTCCAGAGACAAAAATAATATAATATAATAAGATGACTAAGGACTTTGTTTCCTCGTGTCAGTATGTTACCCTGAGAATAATACTGGAGCAGGAAGTGCAGCCAAAGGAAGGCTGCAAAGGCAACAGCATCCCAGAGTCCTGGCAACTGCTATTCAGGCTGGGTATGTGGTTCATTCTCATCTAAAACATACCAATAACTAGTTACCAAAAAATGCATCAGTTCTAAGGTGTGAAGGGGGCTCTAAGCAGAGGTGCCAGAGACCTGCAATGGGTGCTACCAGGCATGCAGTTATCACTAGACACCCACCATACAACCAAGGTGGTAAATGATCTAGAACGGGATTACAGAGTCTAACAAAGTTCACCTAAAGAGGACAAGGACATTGCAAGAGCCTACCATAATGCCATGTGGCAGAAACCATTTGTTGAGATTAAGTTGTGCCCTGCTCCAAGTTACACTGTTATATAAACAATGGTTTTTCAGGCTGTGTTTCTGTGTTTTATCTGAAGAGACTCCATTCTAAAAGCAGCTTTTGATTCAATTTGGAGATTGGAGGATGATTGTACCTTGGTCTACATAAACACCATCATTTGTCCAGCACCACTCACAAGACACACACTGGTAAGAATGTATTTCTAGGAGGAGAAAGCATGGTCCTGCCCAGTACCTTGTGGCGCCAGGCAACCAGGCACTATTATGGTGAGCAAATGTATGGAGTGGTATGAGGGGGGAGGGAGGGAGGGAGGGAGGGAGAGAGGGAGAGAGGGAGGATGGGAGAGAGGGAGAGGAGGGAGGGAGGGAGGGAGAGAGGGAGGGAAGGAGGAGAGAGAGAGAGAATGAGAGAATGAGAGAGAATGAGAGAGAATGAGAGAATGAGAATGGTTCATTTCCTGTGAACAGAGGTGTATCTGAAGAGGAGGAGAGGGCTTGAGGTGGGTGGTCTAATTCCTACTCAGGGCCATGGTGATGTCTGGGCCCGGGCTGCTGCTGGGGCCCATGTCTGGTTCATGGCCCTGATGCAGCCATGGTCTCTGTTGATGTCCATAGCTCCTGATATCACTGAAGGCTGAGAGGATAGGGCTGTGCAGAGTTGACTCCACCCCTCAATGGCTGCAACACTAGGAAGAACTGGTCCTGCCCCTCTCCAGCTGAAGCACTCAGGAGAAAGGGTCCTACTCCTCACCTGGGCAGCACAATGGAGCTGACCCCATTCATGGGGACATGGGTGAGCTGGCCCTGAGAGGGTGAGAATGTTAGAGGAGGTCATGCCCCTCTAGTCTGCCATGTGGTGGAATGGGTAAGGAGGGAAAGCTGTCCTCTTCCCTTTGCCCCTCGCTACCTGCAGCAGGCAGGGGAGCTGATGCAACCCCTCACCAGCTGTAGCACCCGGGAGAATGGACCCTCTGCCTTGCCTGGGCAGCACAGTAAAGTTGACCCTGTAGTCAGGGGTATGGTGAGTCAGTCCTGAAGGTGTGAGAATGGGATTGTTGGTACTGCCTCCCTTGTCTGCAGTGTGGTGGTGGGGGGTAAGGGAAAGATGCCCTCCCCACTCACTCCTACCATCTCCAGCTGGTGAGGGAGCTGACCCCTTTCATGGGAGATCCTGCCCTGCCTCTCATCTGCCATATGGTAGCATGGGTAGGGGACAGATACCCCTTCCCCTCAACACCTGTGGCAGGTGGGAGAGCTGGCCCTGAGGTCATAAGAATCAGAGAGTTGTCACTGCCCCTTACCAGCTGCAGCACTCAGAGAACAGGTCCTGCACATCCCCTGGGCAACACAGAGCTAGCCCTGCTGGTGTAGGTATGGGAGAGCCAATCCTGGTGGCATGAAAGCAGGAGAACCGGCCCTGCCCCTTGCTCATTGCTACAAGGGGTGAACTAGCCAGGGCAATACCAAAGAGCTCACCCTGGTGGTGAAGACAGGGGAGAGTTGGTGGGCTGACCAATCCGGCAACTACCCAAGCTCAGAACTAAGGTTGAGCTGTCCCACCCCATCTATAATCCGCTGGAGCATGTAAAGGGGCCAATCCTGCAGACCTAAAGCTGCAGGATCTCTATGACAGAGGACAAAAACAGGATAGTCAAAAGAAATTCCATTAAGGGCCCAGTATCAATAGTGTAGCAGAAACCAGAGGCCTCAAACCAGACCAATGACTTGTTGCAATGAACACTTCCAAGTAGATATTATGGATAAATGGGTAAACTGTGTGACTTACTGTGTCACACTATGGATTCCACGACAAGATTTTTCTTTCTTTCTTTTTTCTTCTTACTTTTTCTTAAATTTTACTTTATTTTGGGGATGGGGTTGCAAGGGAAGAGGGTGGATATGAAGGGATAGGAAGATGAAAGGGATCAAGGTGCATGATGTAAAAGACACAGAAAATAAATAAAAAGAAAGTTTAAAACAAGATTGTATTTCTAAAAGTAAAATGGATTTTATAGATTTACCGAAGTAAACTGGGACTATAGGAACACATGGTCATATTAAAACCAGAAAGGGCCTGAGAGATGGCTGTGTGGTTAAGAGTGCTGCATACTGCTTTTCCAGAGGACCTAGGTTCTGTTCTCAGTACCCATGTATGGCAGCTTACAACTACCTGTAAGTACAGCTCTAGACAGACCCATTGCCTCTGGGCCCCTGTGGGCACTGCACTAATGTGCAC